GGTCCTATGATGATGTCACTTGAATAGATATGTGGACAGAGTTGGCATCGGGGTTTGTTACAAGTCTATAGAGTGTAACTTTTTAGCCATAACTGAACATTTTTATTCCAAGCTGAACAAACAGAATTTGATGGCAAATTACTCAGTTCCTCGGAGGAGAGAGTGAGGGAAAAGGCAGTTAGGAAAGGGCTATTGACCTCCGCATCTGTTTTTTTCCATAAGGTAGCAGACAGTTTATGCAAAGGTTACTGCAGACACAGAGTCAAGGTCTCTACCATGACAAACCCAATCTTATCTCCATGGCCTTTCAGAATGACTAAATCTGGTTTTAGTCAATCCTATCTCTAACCACTATAAGACACCCTCCTTTTCCAGAACCGGAGATAAACTCCAAGATTCCTAATCACCAGTATTCTACTGCTAACTAGGAAATAGTTGCATAACCCACTGGGAAAATGCATGTTAAGTCCTCCTCCACTGGGTGGTCTACAAAAGGGCTGTTTCTCCTGTAGCTCAGTAGTAAGGGTCTAAGACAGGAGTCTGAAGATCAGGAAGTTCAAACCCTGCTGATCTGTGTGGGAGGACTGAATAGTTGCATGTGCTTCATACATACGGAGAGACCACCGCTTTAAAACAGATTTTGTACTTTGAAAGTATGTTGCGCTGTACACTATGATTTGAATCACCAAAATACTTATGTTTTGTTTCTGGAAAGAAAGTCTCCTAAAACAGATTTCTTTCAAAAGGGGAGGTTTGTTCTCACAGCTTTCTCAATAAAGCATCCCTTTTATGCTCATGATTTTTCCATGTTTGGACTGTTTTAAATTTGTTTCTAAAACATTGTTTTCCTATTAGACACACAATATTCCCAGGAGAAGACTTTCCAGACCTCCCATTTAAGTCTGGTTGGTAAAAATGTGTAGATGATGAGCCTTAGTGCACTGAGCTACCATACCAACAATAGAGTGTAGCCATGATGGCACGGGCAGCCAGAGGACCTACCTGCCCTGAGAATGTGCCTTGACAGGAACTTACTCAGGCTAGCTAGCCACTCTGACTGCTATGACCACACTCTGTTCTTAGCATGCTAGCTTGATCAGAGCTAACACAAGTATGTCTCTCGAGCTAGGAATTACACCCCAGCTCAAAGTGCAGACATTCTTTTAAGAGAATGATTTAAGCCTTTTCCTCCTCCTTCCCTCCCTCCAAGTACCAAAACACTTTCTTTGTGCATGTTTTATGTATAGAAATGTAGCATTAAACGCCCATAATTTCCTGGGGTCCATCTCTGGCCATTTTGCACCATTTCCATGCAACTCAGTTCAAGGTGGGTAGAGTGGAGAGAAGTGCTGTTTTTGTTCCCTCTCTAGCTGTAGCCCAGGTAGTACAGTAGGTAAGTGTTATGAAAGGTCAGGGGTAGGGAGAGACTTACCATTTTAAAATCAAATACACAAATAGGAAACTATGAGGAGTGCTGAGCACTGCTGCAGGAAAGGGACAAAGGTAGCTCTGAGTCTGTGCTTTCCCAGTCCTGGGGCTGCTTTATGCCAGGCTAGTCCCATGGTACATGTAAGAAGAGCCTATGCGAATTGCTTTGCCTGCCTCTTGCTCCAAAAAGCCACTATGGCAGCCCAGAATTGCCAGGGTTCAGGATGCCTTAGCCAAGCCCCTTGCACTCTACAAGCCGATGTAGTGTATCTACCACACACATTGATTTCCCTTATGCTGGCAGGATCCTCTTGCAGCCAAGTAAGGCAGCGTTAGGACAGCTTTGCACTGATGGAGCTGCACTGATGCTGGTGAAGGTGTGACGCATGGTGTCTTGCACATACAGATTAATTCACATAATTAACAGCAGGAATTTGAGTACAAAAAAACGGAGAAAAAAAAGTTTGGTCTGATGTGAAATGACAAGTAAGTTGTCCTTTATTTAATGACTCCTCTGGGTCTTGAGAAGTGGGTGAAATTTATCAAGATTATATTCATTTTCCAATTTCCTACTAACCATAGCTGTTCTATATGTGCTGTGTAAATTCCAGCCATGATTTGACCTGTTATTTCTCTTTTCAACGTCTTGTAATTTAGAATTGAAGATGGATCTGGAAACCTTAATGTGGGGATAAAGTATGGAATGCAGGATTTTTAGACATAGGGTAAATGTGTTTGGAATTAGCAATGGTGGATTAGCCATTGGGCCAATGGGGCCCATGCCCAGGGCCACCAACCAGTTGGGGTCCCCCAGAAAAATGGGCACCCCTGCACCCTGACCTACTCCGTCTGTCCAGCATTCCTGTGCCTGCCCGGTGATGTAGTAAAGGGAGTGGGCTCTGAGAATTCTCTTTGTGTGTGCGATGGAGAGAGGGAGGGTCTCTTGGAGTCCTGGTGCAGGAATGAAGTTAGGAGGGACGTTATGGGGCCTCATGATGAAGAGGTAGGTTGGGAGAGGAGGAGAGATATGGGGCCTTGAAGTGTAGGGGTAGGGAGGAGAGAGGGGGTAGAAGAGAGAGAAAGGGAAGCCTGAGGATTTTGTGGTGCAGGGGGATCCACCTCCAACAATGAATGGTTGTAATTTCATTATTTTGCTCAGGAAAAAATTAGATAATTACTATTGTCTCTCTGCTTTCACAAAGAGAAGGTGAAGTTATTTTAACATGATTTTTGCTATTAATTTAGCAACTTCAGGAGTAATTTAAATCAATTAAGCCCACAAGTTTGATTCATACTTGGTATTTCTGTTAGCACAAAATGCAGCAGTGTTCTTTTCAAATATGATAAACTACAAGAAAGTGTTTCCTAACAGGTAAAGTTGCATAATACAATTTTATGTTAATGGAAATATAAAATTACATTTTAGAATGCTATTAAAACCTTCCCAGCTTAACTCCTCTGTGCAGCATTTAACTCCTTTCTAGTTTTTATATGACATTCTTATAATAATTAAATAGCAATGTGTTCATAGCATTTGTACCATCCCAGATGTACTGCGGTGAATGGAGAAAGGGAACAATTTCCTTGTTGGTCTTGAATTTGTTCATGTAGTTGTGTTTATGGATCAGACCCTCCCTAACACAATTACACTGAACAGATTAAACAAATACCAATCTTAAGCAATGGCAATATGGTATGTCATAGGCTTACAGCTATGAATGCTAATAATACCATCTCTCATACAGACATTAAAAGTTTCTCATTTTGTATTAAGCTACTGTGTGAAATGTGGTTGTCTTGTACGGCTAAAATTAAGTGATTGTATTATTAGCATTAGAAAAGATGTAAATTACTAGATTCCGTTTAGGGAGCATAAGATCTCTATCTGCTCATTATCTGTCTGATTATTTCATGCTTGCTCCTATTACAAATTGCAAGGATCCTGGATAGAATTTTTTAGCGAAATTATTGACCAATATTTATTTTGCCTGTATAACAAAAAATCCATAAATTAATTTGCCTGATAGCAAGACTAATGGTAAATAGGCATCTTAAACTTGGCTTTTAGTTGTTTACTGTAGATAGCTCAACGAATTCAAATTACAGTTAGTATAGTGTTGACTTTAATGCTCCAAATTTAACCTTTACTATACTTAATACCTGGTACACATTATTATACAGGCTTGTTTTTAAGGCTGCAGACCCATAATGAAAATTGCTTCTGGTTGAAACTTGTTTAGATTTTTACCCATATGAATGGGTTTTTTGTTTATAAATTCTAAATATATATGTTTATTTCATTGAGCTGTATATGTAGTAATCACATGTTCCATCTGCTTACCTGACCACTCATAAGTTTGATGTGGCTATTAGGTTTAAGTATATATATTGTCACCACTGGGAGAACCATAGACTTCTTACAGAGGATTTTGCCAGCTGTTAATTTGAGCACCTGGCATCCACCCCAGGTCCTGAATGGTTTGGAACTCGCGTTGCTATTGAAAAAAATGACTCCATGTCACTTTCTGTTTCATACATCTTAAATTAAAATAAAATCCAGAAAACATACTGAACTTTTAATTT